GCACTGCTCCCCTTCATGGAGCAGGTGGGGTGGGGCCACAACTGCATGCAGAGGCAGGGCTGGGGCCAGGGCCTCCACACAGGGGCGGGGGTGGGCTGGGGGTCGCTGCAAGGACTGCCACAGAGCCCCTCTCTGCAGGTACATCGAGGCATCAAGGGGGTGGTGACGGATGAGCAGGGCATTCCCATCGCCAACGCCACCATTTCTGTGAGTGGCATCAACCACGGTGTGAAGACAGGTATCCTCTACACATCTTGCCCCACCTTACCCAGTAGCCACACATAAGCCGACCAAATCTGTGTGGGCACTCCACAGCCTGCCCAGTGGGTCCTTGTTACCGTGAACCCCACGGGAGGGTGGGCATGAAGAAAACTGGGGACAGAGGGCAGCAGGGCCTGTTCTCCTCCGTAGCGAGTGGTGGTGACTACTGGCGTATCCTGAACCCGGGCGAGTACCGTGTGACAGCCCACGCAGAGGGCTACACGCCAAGTGCAAAGACCTGCAACGTGGACTATGACATTGGGGCCACCCAGTGCAACTTCATCCTAGCACGGTCCAACTGGAAGCGCATCCGGGAGATCCTGGCCATGAACGGGAATAGGCCCATCCTTCGCATCGACCCATCACGCCCTATGAGCCCCCAGCAGCGGCGTCTGCAGCAACGGAGCCTGAAGCACCGGGCGAGCCAAAATGAGGCTGCGGCGTCTCAACACCACTGCAAGCCCGGCTCCTGTCCCCACCCTACCCCCCAGCCCCTCCCCTACCCTGGGTACTACCCTGGACCCCTGGGGCCTTCTACCCGTCAGCACAGCCAGTTGGGAGGAGTCAGAGACAGAGACCTACACAGAGGTGGTGACCGAGTTTGGGACAGAGCTGGAGCCTGAGTTTGTGATGGAGCTAGAGCCGGAGGAGGAGGAGGAGGAGGAGGAGGAGGAAGAGCAGCCAGTCATGGGTCCCACGTTCCCCTTCAGCACGGTTGAGACCTACACAGTGAACTTCGGGGACTTCTGAGCTCAGGGCCCTGCCAGCCCTAGCCCCAGCAGCCTCCCAAGCCCACTGCCCAGTCACCTTACCCAGCAGCACCTGAGGCCCAAGAGGCACAACAGGACTCAGAGGCAGAGTGTGTGAAGCTTCTGCTCTACCTGCTGCCTCCAAGAGGGTGGCCCTACAGCAGACTGGAGCGGATCGAGGGAGCCAAGGTCACCAATAAAACAGCTCCTGCCACTGTCTGCTCTGTTCCAGGCAGCTTGGGGTCAGCTCAAGGGGAGAGGTAGCATCAGATGAGGGCCTCAGAGTCCAGTACCAACTGCTTCCATCAGTGAACACACAACCTTTATTTACAAAGCTGACACCACAGACCTCAGTTGCCCAACCCCAGGCCTCCCAGGTCGTCATCCTCTGCCCCAAAGCCTGAGAAGCTGATGGGCTGGCAGGCCAGGCTGCGCAGGTTCACAAGGCAGGCGGTCTGTGTGGCACTGAAGTCAGGGACAGCCACCAATAGCACTGTCTGGTCCTCGGGGCCTGTAGACAAGCCATGCAGGACCCACCTCACTGCTCAGGCAGCATACGGTTCATTCCAGTTCAGTATGCAATGGCTGTGCAGCAGGTCGGGGCTGCCCACCTCCCCCCGCCCCCACAAGGCCAGGAACTCCACAAATAAGTTCTCTGAGCCCAGTCCCAGGGGAGAGCAAGTTCCTCAGAACAGCCCCAGCCTGGGCTCCCAGGACACATGACTCACCATGGATGGTTTTAGAGCCAAAACTGGGGGTGTTGCCACAAAAGTAGACATGTGGGCACTCCACAAAGATGAAGGGGTCAGTTTTGTAGAAGGGGTAGCAGCCTAGGGAAGAGGTCTCTGCTGAGTGGCATTCCATCCCCTCCTACTAAATGCAGTAACAATCTCCCTCTAACCTGGTTGTGACAACAAAACCACCTCCAGATGCTGCCATGTGACCTGAGGGGCAGGTCAGCATGCCCCTGCTGCCTCCCCCGCTCCCCAGTGGGCACCGGGTCCAGGAAGCTATGTCCTGCCTGCCCGAGCTCTAATATGTTCCCAGGAACTTCAGACCTGAGCAGGCCAAGCTATAGAGAGAATTAGGATTCCAGAGTTGCTTCCAGAACAAGCATCAAGTTTCTGAGCATTTCCTTAGCATTTAGCAAGTACAGGGGTGCAAACCTGTTACCTAGGGTGTCAGGAGCTGTGGGGCTGATGTGACGCACACGCAAAGTCCACTCCAGGATCTCCAGGTGATCCTCCATGCTGCTATACCGGAAAATGTCACTCACATTCTGTCCTGATGTTCCCAGGAATCTGCAAGGCAGGCTCAGTTGACCCCAACCAGGGAGGCCACCTCCATCACTCTCCAGAGGGCAGCCAGCTTAGCGTATACCTGGTACTGTCATGGGGGGGGTACCCCAGGCCAACCTCAGGCTCTCCGCCCTGACCCGCCTGCTCTGGTCAGTCCCCAGCGTGGTCGCACCATCTACCTGACCCCATCAATGGTGGCCTGGTACGGGTTGGTGACAAGTTGGAGAGTGGAGTAGGCAGTAGCCAGCGGGAACATGCAGGGGTGAAGGGGCTGCTGGGGAAGTGTGTAGTTGGTTGGGTCAAATTCGCCTGGCATCACGTCCACGGGCACCGAGGCCTGGGGGGAGAGGGCAGAGGAGCTGCAGAGTCTGTATCTCTCACTGGCCACCCCCTGCTGTCCAGTGGCAGCTCCAAAGGCCAGCATCACGACCGCACAGCCCCAACTTGCTCACACTCAGCTGCAGGAGGACCTCATCCAGCATCTTGACAGCTTCCACGCTGGCTGCCTGGGCCTTCTTGGTGAGGTACTTGGCCTGCAGGAGAATGGGGGTCTGGCCAGGGGTGGGCTGCAGGGGTACCTGCACTGCCTGGTCCTGGACTCATAGCGTGCAGTGGGAAGTGCCCCTGGTGAGAGGCCTGGGCACCATGATGAGCAACGCCAGTGCAGTGGCTCCATACCTTGTTGATGGAGTCTCTGTTCTGGGTGCTGGGGCTGAGGAGGTTGCCGGCCAAGATGACCCGGGACACATGCGCGGCACTGCACTGCTCTCCTTCATCCCCGAGCTGCCCTGTCACCACGTCCACCAGCAGCTGTGTGCTCAGCAGGCTCTCACCTCCACCTCCACCCAGGCCCAGGCCAGACACCAGCAGCACAAACCTGTAGGACAAGCTGGTTTCTCAGGAGCCAAGAGGCCCCTGCCCACTATGACCAGGTCCCGGGCGAGTATGGCGCCTTACCTGTCCATGTCAAGGGAGGGCACAGGCTCCTGTGGAGCAAGGTCAGCAAGGCAGTGGTCCTCCACTAGGAATCTCCCGTCATCCCCCACAGAGCCCAGCACGGCCAGAACTGTCCCTGGGGAATAGAGGTGACAGGCCTTGAGTAGGGCCAGCTAAACAGGCAAAACCAGCCTGCCCTTCCTAGCCCCAGCCACACCATGAGCTCCTGCCTAGAACCCAAGGACCCTAGGACCCATGCTGACTTCCTGGGCTTAGTCTCCCAGATGGGCCTCACCCACTCTCATAGCCCCCCTGCGCAAGCCCATACCTGCCTCCCCTCAGCAGGGCAGTGCTAGCCTGGAGCTGGTTCTGCCTGCCCCAGTGGGCTCCCCACCTGTGACCAGCAAGGACACATTAATGGTGCCATTCAGCTTGATTCGCTGCAGCTCGTCTTCCAAGACTAGCTCATCATCTGGGTGGATGTACTTGCTCCGGGGAGGCTGAGGGAGCAGGCTGTGCTGGAATGCAGAGTGGGAGTGGTCTTGGGGCATGAAGAAGTGACATTATAGTACCCCAAGGGTAGAGGTGCTTAGTGGGGCCAAGTGGTGGCTTACCTCCTCGCTGATCTCACGCAGGATGGAGGGCTGCAGCGGCATGGCCTTGAACAGAGTCCCCACCACACAGCACCTCTCCCCAGGCTGCAGCTCACACAGCTTCTTCACACCAATGGCACTGCCTTGGAGTAGGGGGAGGGGTGGGGGCACAGACTCAGAGCCTAGGCAGCCCCCACCTACTCTGGGGAGCATGTCATGACAGGGGTAGGGGTTCAAGCGAGGGTGCCTCAGCCACAGGGGACAAGGGGGTCCTGGACACCAAGTGTCCTCATGAGAGTAGAGATAGACATAGAAGAGGGTGCTAAGAAGTGTAGACAGGCAGAAACTGCTGTAAGGCGGCCACAGCCAGGATCACCAGGGCAGCTACCAAAAGTTGGAGGAAGCCAGAAGGGTCCCTGCTTGGGCCTCTAGGAGGAACCACCTTGCCCACACCTTGACTTGCAACTGTTACTTCAAGTCAACCAGTTTGTGGCACTTTGTTTCAGTGGCCACAGAAAACGGTCTTTGTTGTAGCTTCACTCACACCTAAATCGTCACACTGAGTCCCATAAAGCTATGCCACCCGGCCCTCAAAGTATTACAGCTTCCTTGGAGAGTTTGGCCCCTACCCCATCCAATCCTTATCTCTGAAAATAGACAAGGCAAGTTCAGACACTATAGACTCCCTTCCTCTTCCCTGTGGAGCCTGGCACCCTTATTGGCCCAGAGCGCCTTCCCCAGATCCTAGGGTGACCAAGAACTTGTGGGAAGGGTCATCCTTGGGAAGGGAAGGGTGGCAGGTCAGCACAGGCAGGAGGGAAGCCTATGACTGTCAGTGCAGCTCCAAGCCTGAAGGAAGCACCAGGAGGAGCTGACAAGATGATGTGACCCCAGCGTGGCCAAGCCCCTTCTGCCCGGAATAGCAGAGAACATTCCTCACATCCACACCCTGGGAGCAGACCAGGCGAGTAATTTAAAACAAGATAAGGAGGCGCCAACATCAGCCAGGCGCCAGACACCATAGAAACACCAGAACCCACATCTCTACATACTGTGCTCAGGGTGCCTTGGGAACCACACACATAACTCATCCAACCCTGAGAGCGTGCAGAGACACACGGCAAAGCTTAAGCGACTGTTCAAGGTCACACAGCTGGGATCCACATGTGTGCAATGAGCACTGGGTGGAACGACACATTCTCTGTCCCTGTGATGCGCTGGCACTGATACTGCCAGGACACAAAGGCCAGTCCTTGGTCCCACTGAGCCTATTCTCTCCATTAGAAAAAGAGACAACAGACAATAAACAAGTAACTAGCCACTGCGACAAGTGCCAAAAAGGGACCTGAGCAGAAAATACAGAGAAGACCCAATGACTTAAGGACTTTCCAAGGACTTGACACGTCAGCTGATTTTATAAGGCTGCGAAAGGCCCTGGGAAGACTAGGAAAAGGATGTACAGAGAAAAGCCCAGCAAGAAGGGTTTGGCATGTTCAGGAACGAGTGAGTGAGGAGAGACCAGGTTGAGCTAGCAGGGGAAGCCAGGCACAGGTGTTCTGGGCAGCAGCCAGCAGCTGCCTGGATTCCTAACTGCCTGAGGGCTATCCTAGGGAGCCATCTGGAAAAGAAAAGGCAGAGCCAGAGGGGGCACTGTCATAAGGAATCCAAAAGGGGTTCAAAGGCAAGTAGGAGCAGGAGGAAGTGGCCCCCTGTGTAGAGGAGAGGTGAACAGCACTTTCACTTAAGGTAGAGAAAGAAAACCTCTGATGAGTCTGGTGACCCGGCCTGGAGATTTTTGAGTCCAGTGTTCTGGCTGCAGAGGCCCTAACACCAGCAGTTCCCAAAGCTTCCAGGTGGTTCTAATGTGCAACCAGGGCTGAGAGCCACTAGCTTGGTGCCAGGGACAATAAAAACCAGTAAGACATGTCTGGCCTACAAAAATCTCACCTTACAAACATAATAGGAGATGAATTTGTAAAGCGCATTAAAAAAAAAAAGGCACATGGAAAACCACTCTTAAACAAAGGGTAAGACTAGGGTAACACAGTCCCAGGTGAAATTTCTGCTTTACCACCACAAATAACCTAAATACAGGAGAGATCACCAAGGGAGTAACAGGGGAAAAGAAAAAGGTTAGTATTGCCCAGGCTACTTTATTATGAAAGATAGAACACAAGAAATGGGAGATTCATAGTCAACAAATACAGAAGCCAGGAGAAGCAAACAAGGGTCCCCCATTCTTGGCTGTTAGTACAAGGGTCAGGCCTGCCATACTCAGGGGTTCTCCAGCTACAATGTGGGCAAACTGGATGAATAATAAGTATGGCAGAGAGGAAAAAATATTTGTCACCACCAAGGAAATAGTACAGAAACAGAATTAAGCCCTTACCAGGGCCAGCAGGTGGCAAGGTGGTTAAGGGTACTAGACTCCCACATGGCCAACCATGGTTCGAGTCTCGGACCTGGCAGCTTGCATTCTCACTCTCTCTGACCTCTTTGGTCAAATTAAAATAAATAAATAAATAAATATTTTATTAAAAAAAACTAAGCCCTTACCTTGAACTAGGCTCTGAACCAAATGTAACTTTATAAATTCATTAATTTAATCTTCATTACTACCTTAAGGAATTGAGAGATAGAGGTTGATTTCCCCAAGGTAACTGGGAAGTGAGACAAATGAGAGAAGCTCCAGTTCTCATATACACCTCCAGGTTCTGGGCTGCTGGGTGAAGCACCTTCCCAGCTTCTCACTCACCCCAGTGCTGCTGGGCCCGGTGCACCAGGAAGGGTCTCATCTGGATGAGGCGAGTGGCATAAATGTGAGCATACTGCCTGTTAAAGCTGCGCTCCCCCAGCCGGAAGGGTTGTGAAGAGTTGGTATAAGTGGTCACAGGCACGGTACTAGACTCCCACATGGCCAACCATGGTTCGAGTCTCGGACCTGGCAGCTTGCATTCTCACTCTCTCTGACCTCTTTGGTCAAATTAAAATAAATAAATAAATAAATATTTTATTAAAAAAAACTAAGCCCTTACCTTGAACTAGGCTCTGAACCAAATGTAACTTTATAAATTCATTAATTTAATCTTCATTACTACCTTAAGGAATTGAGAGATAGAGGTTGATTTCCCCAAGGTAACTGGGAAGTGAGACAAATGAGAGAAGCTCCAGTTCTCATATACACCTCCAGGTTCTGGGCTGCTGGGTGAAGCACCTTCCCAGCTTCTCACTCACCCCAGTGCTGCTGGGCCCGGTGCACCAGGAAGGGTCTCATCTGGATGAGGCGAGTGGCATAAATGTGAGCATACTGCCTGTTAAAGCTGCGCTCCCCCAGCCGGAAGGGTTGTGAAGAGTTGGTATAAGTGGTCACAGGCACTCGGGCAAAGGTGGCATTGTTGACTGACGGTGGGGACAGCAGAGTGTGGGCCTTCTGGGCCGCCTGGTCAGAAAACATGGCCACGCCCTCTGCTTGCTGGGTCCAGATGGCTGCACCAGGCCAAAGAGGATCACTCTGAGGACATAAAGGCATTCCTATCATCTCTGTCAGTCCCCAAAACATCAGCTGTTCGGGAGTCTCGATCGAACTGATCACACTGCACCCAAAGGACACGAGGAAAAATGGGGGACAATTGTAGTCAACACCATACAGTTTCTACCTGGAAATCTATCCTGTCTGGATATCCCCATCTGTCTGTCCCGCGCCATAACCTTCATACCGAGAGGGACAATAGACTAACTAGGTGCATTTCTCCCTCCTAGAGTTTCTTTTGAACCCCCAGTAAATCCCAAAGAGTCTCTGGATTTTGCACTCCCCAAATGGAATTCCTGCCTCACTGGCTCCCAGCACCTGTCCCATTTCCAGGCATGAAGCCAGCTTGATTAAACCTATACTCCATTACTAAATAACAAAAACAAGACTAGCTTAAATAAGACCTAAATCACTCACTGCTCTGCTCAAAGCTCTCTGAAGGCTGCCAGTGTCACTGAGCAAGGCTGAGGTCTTTGGACCTGCCCGCTGTGCTCCCATCCCCGGCCCTGCCCCGGGCGTCCGCTGCCTGCTGCCTCTGACACCCAAAGGTTGGTCTCTGGGGGACCGGGAGCTGCGAGGTCGTAATGTGTGCTTGTCCTGGGGCATGGCCACCACCCAAGGCCACCCGCCAGGTTCAGAAAAATACATAGGAGCCTGGCGCGTGTCCGCGGACCGCGGAACAACAGGGCGCGGGCAGCCGAGGAGGTTGCAACGCACAGTCCGGGCTCGGCAGCCTGCGCGCCGCGGCCCCCACAGACCTTGCTCCCCCAAAGGCTGCCCTGCAGCAGCCTCAACCCAAGCTGGGCATTTCTGTATCCACGCGGATCTATTTCACCAGACCCCACTCACCTCGCCGCGCGCCACTTCCCGCCAGTCCCCGCGCGCTTGCCCCACCCATCGTCGCGTCCTACCAATCGTTGTGCAGTATCTACCGCCTATCACCGCATCCCACCAATCGTTGGCTGCTCGTCACCAGGCGTCGCATCCCAGCTGGGCATTTCTGTATCCACGCGGATCTATTTCACCAGACCCCACTCACCTCGCCGCGCGCCACTTCCCGCCAGTCCCCGCGCGCTTGCCCCACCCATCGTCGCGTCCTACCAATCGTTGTGCAGTATCTACCGCCTATCACCGCATCCCACCAATCGTTGGCTGCTCGTCACCAGGCGTCGCATCCCGCCTATTCCCGCGAGCCCCGCTCATCGCCTCATTCCGCCAATAGCCGCCCGCCCCTCACCCGTCCATCACTGCCTTTCCATCAGCCGCGGCGCGTTCCCCTGACGCTGCGCGAGCTCGGAATCGCGCCTCGGTCTCCCGGACAACGCGGGGCGGGGTGGGGCCGCTGGCCAATGCGCCTGTGGCAGGGGGGGGGGGGGGGTCCCACACTCTCCGCGGAGGCGCCTTTCCTGGGCCGGGACGTGATCATGGGCAGGGGATGAGGAGGGTTGTGATGGATCTGCGTACTGCAATCTCCTCCAGGGGAGCTCCCGCGCACATCCCGCTAGCCGGCGGGGACCTGCCTTAAGCGACGCAGCCATCTTCGTCGTCCCCTTTCATAGATGAGGACGAGGCGGAAGGCACCAAGTGTTCTGGCAGGGAGCTGGGCTTCTCCAGGTTCGGGGCATTGTCCGGTTCTTGCCTAGCTCCCAGGTGTCGCTTTTGTGACTACCTCGGCTTGTCCCGAGGAACGCAGCATCTAACTGCTGGAAGAAAATGTGCGATGCAAGTGTGGGGTGTTTGTTTTATTTTAACTATAGTTTGTTGTTTGTTTATTTCTTCCTTGCGCTCGAGAGGCAGGACTCCTCTGGATCTTGGCGACCAGCCTCGGCCAACTCTGCTATGGCCTGTGAGCCTTGCTTTCAAGGACGTCTCTTGGACTCCAACCAGGGACCTTTCCAGTGGGGCTGCCTTGCAGAGCCTCCTGTTTTGCCTTGGACACTGGCCAGAACTATGGATTCTTTATATACAGACTATTAATAAAAGGACCTAGTTTCCTTCTGTTTTTAGTTTGCTGAGGTTAGTTTTCTTATCATGAGTTAGTGCTGACTTTTGCCAATCTTTTTTTTATATTCTTGCCATAGGATGTGCCAGCTGGTCAGAGAGAGGGAAAGTGAGAAATCATGCCTCATGGACATGGGCCTTGGCCATGCCACAATCCCTTCTCTGTTCTCTGGGATTTTAGGCACATTTGCACATGTACATGGAGTAAGTTTCAAACTGCTGGTCCGGGATGCTAACCATGGCCCATGGGAGCCAGTGCCACCACACCACTTGCTCACCCCTTGTCAAACATTTTTTCTGCATCTGTGTATAAAATCATGTGGATTTTTCCCTTATTAATATGTTAAATTGATTTTATGTCAACTATTCTTGCATTTCAGGAACAAATCCCACTTGTGGATTTACAAACCAAAGAACAAGTACTAGCTTTTTTTTTTTTTTTTTAGAGGTTTTTGCTACAGGATGCTTGCGCTCGCCATAAAGACATAGAGACAGAAAGCAAGAAATCCCCTCACCCCCCTGGGGGGATGGCCACTTCACAATCCCTTCTCCTCCATTCTCCTCTGGGGAACTTGGGTATGCATGCACACACGCCTGGCGTGAGTTTAAGCCACCAGGTCCGGGACTTGAACCGCGATTGACTACATGGGAGTTCAGCAACATAGCCATTACACTAACTTCTGGTCCCCCAATAGTACTAGCTTTTATAATAAGTTACAGTAATACTAACTTTTATAATCATCCTTGTATTTATGTTTGCCAGATGTCTTTATTTCTTTATTCAGCTTGGAGTTACTGTCCAGTGTCCTTTCATTTCAACCTGAAAGACTCCCTTTAGCGTTTCTTGGAGAATAGATCTAGTGGTAGGGATGCTCTTAGCTTTTGTTTATCTGGAAATGTCTTCATGTTCTGATTTTTGTAGTTTGGGTTTTTGTTTTGTTTTTGTTCTTAGCTATAGGGCACGGGAGAGAGACAAAAAGCAAGAAAGTGAGAAAGCATCCCTAGTAGGAATAACCATGCGATCCATTCTCCTCCATTCTCTCAGGATTTGAGTGCACACACACATATTCGATGTGTTTTCCAAGCCCCTGGGTTTGGGACTTCAACTGCAGAGCCTAAAATCCAGAAAAGAGAAACAAAGGAGAAGGAATTGCAGTGTGACCATCCCCCATGAGGGGATGCTTTCTTACTTTCCTCTCTTTCTTTATTGAATACACTTTGTAGCAAGTTAAACAAAGTTTTTCCCTGAGTATTATATTCTTTTGATACCATCGTGAATGGTATTTTTAAATATATTTTAAAATAATTATTTATTTATTCATTCATTTATTTTTTAATTTGACCAGAGAGAGACAGAGGGTAAGAGTGAGAGAGAGAGAGAGGAAGTGAGAAAGCAAGCCACCAGATTCAGGACTTGAATACTTGTCAGCCATGTGGGAGTGTCCAGCACCTTAACCATGATGCCACCTGCTGGTCCCAATGGTATTTTTTTAAAACTTTATTTTTGGGGCCAGCAGATGGCATGGTGGTTAAGGGTGCTGAACTCCCACATGAGTGACCATGGTTCGAGTCCCGGACCTGGCAGCTTGCTTTCTCACTTTGTCTCTCTCTCATTCTGTCCCACTCTCGTCAAATATAATAAATAAATAAAGTTAAGTAAAATAATACTTAAAAAAAACCCTTTTTTTCAGATTGTTCATCGCAAGTAGAAATACAAGTAATATTTGTATATGATGTTTGTCCTGTAACTTTGCTAAACTCAATAACTTTAAGGACTTTTTAGTAGGTTCCTTTTTATTTTATGTACCTGATCATGTTGTCTGAAAATAGAAATAGTTTTACTTTCCAATCTGGTACATTTTATTTTATCAATCTAAAATAAAGAGGTCTGACTTGAAGTTATTAAAAAAGGCTTATTCAAGCAAAACATTTGAGGATGGCTAGCTGAAGGGAAAAAGGCTTTAGTTTTCTGTAGCCTGTACTCTCCTAAATGGCAAAATCTGGGGTCTATTTTATAGAGAAAGAAAGAAGGGAATGAAGGAAGAGAGGGTTATAGGTGTTGTAATAAAGAGTTTACATTGGTTGACATTTCAACACAGGCTTTTCATTGGCTATAGACCTCTTTATAAATTAAGTCTCTTAGGGCTGCCTCCCTAGCCTAATGATTTAAAGGAGCCAGATCCCACACGGTTAACTGTGTGTTAGAAATCCTGGACCCAGGGGTGAAAAACACTCTGGATGGTGATGTGAGGTGGTGGAGTGGAGGGGTTAAATGTATTTGTGGAAAAAGAAAAACCAAATGGTAAGATAATTGAATCCTGTGAAAGTACAATGGATTCCTTAGTGGTAAACAACACATATGTAAACAACGTGTGGGTTCAATGTGAATACGAAAAGTTTGAAATGGAGATTGTTGTCAAGTGAGGATACCACCAAAGTTGATCATAACGAACCATGATACTACTTTATGAACACCGATTCAAGATACAATAAGTGCTCTATTTCTTTTTTCTTTTTTTTTTTTTGGAGACATTTTCACTATAGGGCGCATGCGCTTGCCAGCCAGACAGAGAGAGACATAGAACAGAAAGCGAGAAATCACCCCCCAGGGGGGATGGTCACGCCGCAATCCCTTCTCCTCCATTCTCCTCTCGGGATCTTGGGCACGCACGCACACGCGCCCGGCGTGAGTTTTAAGCCACCGGGTCTGGGACGCGAACTGCGGTCGACTACGTGGGAGTCCAGCAACATAGCCATTATGCTAACTGCTGGTTCCCTATTTCTGAAGAAGACTTTCCTGAAGAGTCTCAGCTTCATCAAAGTGGATTTAAAATAGTCTATTCACAACACCCTCTTAGAAGCCTGGTTTTGGTAAAATTGTAGAACTGGCCAAGCTAGCCAGGGATACTTTGTTCTTATCTTTTTTAAAGGGATATATGTGATCTACAATCTGGGTGGAAATGTTGAATAGTATCACATAGAATTCCTGGATGATCCTCACTCAGGATCGTGAATTAATGCAACATTTGTTGGGCATTATAATATCACATTGGGGTCAGCATGTGGCGTAGTGGTTAAGGTGCTGGATTCCCACATGGTTAACCACAGTTCAAGTCCCAGACCTGGTGGCTTGCTTTCTCACTTTCCCTTTCTCTCTCTCTCTGTCTGTCTCTTTGGTCAAATTAAAAAATAAATAATAACAATTAAAATCAAATAAAGAAATTATATTTTAAAAAATCAAATTAAAGCAAGGAGAATGTAAGGACAAAAAGAAGTGGTAAAAAAGTGGGAACCAGCAGTTAGCGTAATGGCTATGTCGCTGGACTCCCACATAGTCGACCGCGGTTCACGTCCCGAACCCAGTGGCTTAAAACTCACGCCAGGCGCGTGTGCATGTGTGCCCAAGATCCCGAGAGGTGAATGGAGGAGAGGGGATTGCAGCGTGACCATCCCCCCGGGGGGTGATTTCTCGCTTTCTGTCTCTATGTCTCTCTCTGTCTGGCGAGCACACGCGCCCTACAGTGAAAATCTCTCCAGGAAAAAAAAAAAGAAGTGGTAAAAAAGTGCACTACGAGGGGACCAGCAGGTGGCATGGTGGTTGAGGCGCTAGACACTCCCACATGGCTGATCATGGTTTGAATCCTGGACCTGGTGGCTTGCTTTCTCATGCTCTCTCTCTTTCTCTTTCTGTGTCTCTCTCTGGTCAAATGAAAATAAATGAATAAATAAGTGAAATTAAATAAATAATTCTTTTTTAAAAAAAGTACACTACAAGAAGCATACCTACTCTATGGATGTTCTTATTAGCAAAGACTGCAAACACACTGCCTATTGAAACAGGATAAATCCAAAGCAGATACTAAAGTTGCCATGGTGGCCAAGAAAAGCATGCAAGTTTCCAAAAATAAAACCAAG